TTGTTTTGCTCTTTCTTGGACTAAAATATCAGGTGGCACTTACATGACCAAAATTGAGTCGATAATGCCGTAAAACACCTACTCAATCAATCAATTAATACATAACAGGTATGTAGAAAAGGTTCTTCTCTGAACTCAAACACAAACTAAAAGTAATCTAACAATTATTGATGTTAAGGATGCCATCCTGTTGTTTACCTATTCTTTACTTCGTTATACTGTTCCGTTATTGCTCCCTAGTTCAAACGACTGGTGAATGTGATGATGATGATAATGATGATTATGATGATGAGGATGATAAGGATGATGATGATGGTGATGATGATGATGATGATGATGATGATCATGATGGTGATGATGCTGATGTTATAACAATGACAACAAGGATAACAATAATAACAATAATAAAAATGATGATGATGGTGGTGATGGTGAAGGCGATGATGATGATCTTATTACAATGATAACAATATTGATGATGAGGATGAGAATTATGATGAGAATAATAATAATTATGATGATAAAAATAATAACAATAATCATAGTAATATAATAATAATAGCAATATTAATATGTTTTTATTATATTATGATGATGACGATGATGACGATGATGACGATAATGATAATAATAATAATAATAATAATAATAATAATAATAATAATAATGATAATAATAAGGATAATAATAATAATAACAATAATAATAATAATAATAATATCAACATGTTATTATAATTATATCATTGCCATCTCATTGCTATCCTAATTATTATTACTACTTTTGTTATCATAACAGCCATAATTATGTTTTTATGTCAGTCTTCGTAGTGTGTAGATCTATATATTTTGACTCACAAATCAGTAAAGTCATCGAAAGTCGAACCGCACGTGCATGTTCGCTCATTGAGTTTGTTAAGTCTGGAGAGGCAGACCTCAACGCACTCATGACTAGTGACGTAAAACATAGCCGCAAATGAGACCAGAAATATTGATTATTTCCCCGCAGGTTTTCGTTCCCTTTGTGATTAAAACAATCGGTGGGTGGTACCAAGTGGTTTTGGCAATGAATGACCAGTATTTTGACAGTGTGCGTTCATCTGGCTACCAGGTTGCACTAAAGGATTACCTGATGCGGTAACGTTTATCAATCCGAGTAACCATGTTCCACGAAATTCTCACGACACGTATTTTAAACTTGTTGCACGTATCTCCCCCACTCCCCCCTGCACCCGCCTCGACTGAAAGGAAATAAATGATACGTGCATAGCACTCAGGTATTGTGGATACTAACTGTCGTCTTCTTTAAAACGATAATTATACAGTGTCAATGATTGGGATAAACTAGACGTCTGATTAATCTGGAGGCGGTAAAGTTTATCAATCCGAGTAATCCTTTAGCACGTAACTGTCACAGTGCGTACATGTATTTTGAACGCACGACACTTAGCTCTTCCCACCCCTGCTCCCCCTTCCCTTCCGTACCCGCCTTACCTCGTCTGAAAGGAAATGAAGCGTGCATAGTGCATATCTAGCAGACATTGTGGACACGTGTCTTCTTTAAAAAAAAAAATACAACGTCAACGGTTTGGGTAAACAAGTCGGCTAGTTAATCTGAACTTTTTTTGTCTATTGGAACGCAAAAGGAATTTATCAGTCTGGCCTAAAACATATTTTATTGATGTTGAAGTCACAAACCGTGTAAGTGTAAAAATAGTAAAATTGTTTTTTGTGCTAAATTTATCGTCATAGAGCCACAAACCGTGTTCTGTTTTGATTTAGGGACAGAATAACCAATGGAAAGGCGTGTGATCGTCACATGCGCAGCTCGTGTATCCCTACTGGTTCTCAATATTGACGGTGCATATCGAGTAAGTCTGTTGAACTACACCCAGCCGTCCGTGCGGGACAAAACGAAACTCCCAAGTCTACAAGTTTAGCGTCTTTGATCTTCACACCCGTGTTGTCGAGTGTTATGTCTGGATCGAGTCTGAAGGAGTGACACGTTTGCGTTTTGCTTGGTAACCTTCCGTTATACAGAAGATTTTTAAAAATGCATGATAATAAAAATATTATGAGATGGCTGCATTTATTAATAAACTAGACAGGAAGTCATGGCAATCATTTTGGAACACTTCAGGATGACGCATGACAAATTCAGAGAACCAAAGTATTAAGAAAAAGATTCTTCGAGCATTGCAATATCGTCTGTGTGTAAAAACCCTTTATGAACTAGAGCTCACAGATGACTTCACCTTTGCATTTGCCAAGACGTGGCAAAACCCAACAAAGGAAAGGGAGCTGTGGGGAAACCGGAAATCCAAAACAACTAAACGCATCCCGT